GTTGTTACGTCTAGGGATTCGGCTCCGGAGTCGTACAGGTAGGGAGGGAAGGGCGCTGGAAAGAGCCCTATAGGGTTTAGGGTTTAGAGTTTCGGGTTTAGGGTTTAGAGTTTAGGGTTGAGGGTTTAGGGTTTAGAGTTCAGGGTTTAGGGTTTAGGGTTTAGAGTTTAGGGTTTAGGGTTTCCTGAGCCGTAGACCGCGAGCCGTCGACTTGGTTGCTGCAGTGCTGCTATTTGGAGGTTTGGGCTGAGGTTTGGTTCTCGAGGTTTCAGCATGCGAACAGCCAATGCTGCGAAGAGTTGCAACCATGATCACGTGTTCTAAACATAATTTCTACGGGGCTTGTTTCAGTTTGGGTAAGTTTGGGTCCTTGTTGGGAAGTCCTTACAGTGTATATTGTCTCGCTGTTTCCAAGCATTTGGCACTTACTTGGAGGCCCTGTATGCTGAAGACGGACCTGGAAAAGGCGGGCCCCTGGACGATGCAAGCTTAATCCCCCAACACCTCCCCTAAACTCTAAACCCATGCACCCCCAAACTCTGAATATTCCTGGAGATGGACTTGAGCAGAACGTTCGCGACGGGCTAATGCGGAAGACTATTAGAATCATGGGATACTGTACCCGAATACCATATTCCAGGTGTGCTGGCCCATGTGTTAGATACACTTCATGGCAAGGCAAGCTTTTGTTAACAAAGCCGCCCCGAAGCAAAAAGTTTAAGCCCTGTCGGGCTGTGTCCTGGAGATGCGCCCTCAGCTGAGAACCTCCTCCATCAAGATTGAAGTCTATCAACCCCACGGCCCTGCGTTGACTTTCTTTCTTCCGCGCTCGTTCTTCAAAGCTAGGGCGCCACATAAGACTTGGCATGACATGTCACATGGTAGGTTAGGGCCGGCACACACATATCAGCATAGGCTGTACATAAGCAGAGTCTCGACATGGAGTCACTGCCGACAAGGGTGGCAGAGATCATCCGTGATGTCGCGGTGCAGGAGGCGAAGCGGAGGTACGGCCGAGCAGATGTGTTGCTGGCTTCCGACGACGTTCAGGAGATGGAGGAGGTGAGCTTTCGCATCGCAAAAGATGCCGTGAGAGACATGGCGAAGAGGGTCACTCGTGAGGGTGTGATGCCAAGCCCTTTGCGACCGAGGGAGTTGGGATTGAGGGAGTGAAAGCCCAAAGTTCAACGGCAGAGAAGCATCTTCACTGTGTGCCAGCATGACGACAGCCGCACCGACAAGGAGATTTTGTATTTTTATGTTGCCTGAAGTCAGCAGGCCTAAACCGTCAACCGTACCTGCCTGTAGCCCAAAAAGGCTACCCTTTTAGGGTTCCGTGTTAAGGTTTCTTTAGGTAGGGTTGTTGGGCTACACGTAGACCCTGAACCGTGAAGCGTTCGCAGCGCAAAAGCTCTGCACCTTGTAAGTCTGTAAGTTTGAGACTATGTGCCTGGCGATGCTTGAGGTGCAGTTGGGATGTTAAGAAGTTTGGCCTGGGTTTTGGGGTGTTAGGGTTTCAGGTGTGGCCTCTCGGGGTGCTTTGTTGTTTGCGGTTCGGCTACTTATAATATAGAGCTACATTATCCCATAACTATAATAATACAAGGAACCCCCAAAACAGTGTTGGTAGTTATTTAGGCCCCTACATTGCTTAAGAAGTTCAGATTTTTTGCTCGACCCACCGCACCTTGGCTCGGAGGCGAGTCAGCCCCGTTCGGCATCTTCAATGCAGAGAAATGCCACCACCCCAGCCAGGATTGTATACCTAGCGCTCGGCATAATTCATACTTGTGATCTTGAGGGTTCGTTATTTTACGAAGTTTATACTATAATCACTATGACGCACCACGCAACCACAGCCCCGACCGAACCCTGAACCCTAAAGCCCTTAAGGAGAAGCCGAAGAGGAAGCCGATATCTGCTGTCATCTGAGATCCCTAGCTCCAACCCCCCCTCAAGAAGCCCGAGGGTTTAGCGTTTCGGGTTCCGGGTTTAGGGAGTTCGGGGATTGCGGCTGACTCGGAACCTATGAAAAAAAACATGTCCTTGGAATGGCCAATCTTTCGTAAGCTAACATCCTAGACTCGTACATAACCCCACCTAGAGTGACAAAGGTACTTTCGAGTGCAAAACTGCAAAATACTAGGAAGCACGCTACCTCGCAAGAAGTGACCCTAGAAGAGTCGCAGCTTATTCTGAGGTGCCTTAAACCCTGAACCCAAAACCTATTATAAACCCCAAACCCAAAAACCCCCAAACCCTAAAACCCTAAGCCCCCAAAACCCCAAGCCCCAAACCCTAAGCCCTAAACCCTACACCCCTAAACCCTAAACCCCTAAACCCCTAAACCCCAAAACCCCAAAACCCTAAAGCCCCAAACCCTAAACCCTAAACCCTAAGCCCTAAACCCCAAAACCCCAAAACCCTAAGCCCCAAACCCCAAAACCCCAAACCCTAAACCCCAAAACCCCAAAACCCTAAACCCCAAACCCTAAGCCCTGAACCCTAAGCCCCAAACCCTAAACCCTATAAGCCCTAAACCCTAAACCCTAAACCCCTAAACCCTAAACCCCAAAACCCCAAAACCCTAAACCCCAAACCCCAAACCCTAAGCCCTGAACCCTAAACCCCAAAACCCCAAAACCCCAAAACCCCAAAGCCCCAAAGCCCTAAAGCCCCAAACCCTAAACCCTAAACCCCAAACCCGAAGCCCTGAACCCTAAACCCCTAAACCCCAAAACCCCAAAGCCCCAAACCCTAAGCCCTATAAGCCCTAAGCCCTAAACCCTAAAACCGACCCATCCAGCCCCCAGGCGAGGGCCCCGTGTCCGTGAGCAGCGACGGCGTTACCGCAGAGAGTGCTGCGCCACGCTGGGTCCGGCCCGTGGATGGTTTGGCGTTGGGGTTTTAGGGCATTTTAGGGTCTATACTTGGAGGATCATGGGACTTATTAAGTAAGGATATAAGTACCTTAATTGGGGCTAAAAGTAGTTATAAGTATAGTTAATTATAACCCCAGTTTCTAAGTCCCATGATCCTTTAAGCAGGCTTTATAGTTTCGGAGTTTTGGGTCTATAGAGTTTAGGGTAGGGTTTATGTTGGGGTTCAGGGTCTGCGCTGGACCCCAAAAGTATGTAATTAGGATAATTGCCTTTTGTAGGTGTTGGGCCATTATTTTACATACTTCTTGCTGGTTTAGGTAGGCTTAGGGCTTATCTAGTTCCCACACGCTCAACCTGAAGCTAGGAAAGCCACCACGGAACCCTGGAACCTTCAATCCTTGACCCTTAAACTCTCGAGCCCAAACCCCTCGACTTCTTTCAGATCTTCTTCCCTAAACCCTAAACCCAAGACCCAAAACCCTAAACCCTAAACCCTTAGCTTAGGCGTTTGGCTTTCAGGGTTAGGACGTAGTTTCTCCACGGAGTCCGTCCGACACCCTTGGCTAAACCCCAAGCGTGGTCAGCAACCCGCGATCAGCTTCTACCGGCCAGAGGTCCGCTTGTGCGCCTGGCTCGGTACCCTAACCCCGACGAGTGGGGGTTACAATCCTTCCCACTGCCTGCCACCTCACTGATCTGGTTAGCCCTGGTGAGCGTTTGGCGTGGCTTGCACCTTCTATGCGAGGAAGCTGCAGTTTTCTATTCTTTGTCATCCAGTTCTTCTGCTGTGGACTGGGCCTTCACGGCCGCTCTGGGCACAATACCTGGAGTTCGGGGGCAGGAGAAGGCCCCACACCGGAGAGCAAGGCGGGCTCGTACGGCAGCTCGAACCCTGCTGAGGAACTACGTCAGTGGGCAGTGGGTCTCAGCGAGGGCCATAGCAAAGGCGTGCGAGGCCTTGGAACATCACCACTCAGCCAGCCCTTTACCTGCACAGGCCAGAAGAATCATGGCGGCCCGCAAAGCGCAGGCGTGGCAGTGCCAGCACTGCCGCTCGTTTTGCAAAGCCACGGCATCTTTCTGCCCCAGCCGCGGAACTTTCTGGCAACAGGCGATGGGCTATGGGGCTCCTGCTTCACAGGAGCCATGGAGATCCAACGCCACGTGGGAGGAGCCATGGAGACCGGCTTCACCACGGAGGAGACCACCACGTGGACCAGGCCGGGGCAAGGGAGACTCGCCAAGAAGGCGTTCCTGGCAACAGGATGGCAAAGGCAAGGGCGAGGGACAGAAAGGAGCTGGTGCCAAGGGAGGCGACAAGGGCAAGGAGACCCCGCCGCCAACCCCCAGCTTGAAAAGTCTGCCTCCGGCTCCGCAGAAGCCAACAGTTGCTCAGCCCAAGGAGCCTGCACCGGGCAGTTCAACGGCTACGACAGAAAATGTTCTGTTGCAGACGCTGCTGGCGACTATGACCCGGAACAGGGAGGAGTTGCCGGATGCCCTACGAGAGCTCTTGGATGCACAGGCCTCGGAAGGTTTGCGAACCAACCGCAAATCCATGCACCAACTGGTGACCAAGCAGAGCGATGCCAAACAGGGGTTGGATGCAGTAAGCAAGGCCAGGCGAGATTACCTGAGCCAATGGGCGGCTTATACCCGGACACTCTGCAGCACCTGGGAGGCGCAGCTCACGGAGAAGGCCGCAGCTCTTCAAGCCTTCGATCAGGCGGAGGAGCAATGGCTTTCTCAGCTTCGGGAGGCCACGAAGGATCTCGCAAAGCGGACTACGGATGGTGTGTTGTGCGTTCACTCCGAGGACTCTGGCGAGGAAGAGGATGTCGAGATCCAGGTCGAGGAGGACGCGAGCCATGCTGCCAAGAAGCAGCATATGCAAGAGCAGATGACCGCCAGCGAGGAACAGATCACACAGTCGCTACAGGCGGCCATGAAGGCTGCTCAGGATCAGGAGGCCTTCTTTGCCAACAAGCCGGAAAGGGAGAGATCGCCCCGGCGCCGCAAAGACAAGGAGACCTCGGACAACAAGGAAGCAGCAGCTCCCAAGGACGCAGGCACCGGCTTGCACCCTGGCAAGGCCTCATGTTAAGCCACTTGGTTAGCATGGGGCCGTTCCTCTCTGCTCGACCATCGCATTCCGTGACGGCCGAGCATGATTATGTGAACCCTTGGCTGGCCAGCTATTTGGGACAGCGAGCAGCCTTTGAGGTTCAGATGAGCTTTTGTGGTCTCGCGACCACTCTTCGTCTTGATCCGCGAGAACCCCGACGACACCTCAGAGTCACCTGGAGCCAAAGCGGTCGCCGCTCTTCGTGCTGTGACCCCGATTTCGGCGCATTCTTGCGAGCTGGCAACGGCGCGAGTCGTTCCCCCACATGCCGGGAGACCCACTGCCACATGGACAACGGCAGGCCAGGGACCGACATTGTGGGAGGCGACGAGGTCGTTGGCTGCTTGCGGTTTTCGAGCCGTGTCGTGAGGCCAGCCTCTCTGAGTGACACTGTACAGAAGACCGTAGGACCTTCGTTGTACAATACGGTATCGTATGCAGGTAAGCTCCGAGGTGATGTGATTACTTGCAAACGGGTGACTTTTGGCGATACTGAATGCTTTGAAGTGCCCTCTTCCCAGAGCATTGGCTCTGCCCTGGGGCCTACCAAGCCCGAGGGAATCAGCAGGCGCCAAGCCTCTCAGACGGTACTCGGTCAGGCGCATTTGCCTTACCCTTTTGATGCGTTCAAGGTCGGTTCCGCGTCGAGCCTTGCGCATTCTTCCAGCGTGCCCCGTCGCCAGCCAATCAATCTCCCGGGCGACTGCCCTCCGGGTCTGCTTGGAGGTTTCGGTCCTCCGCGGCCCTCCGCCATTGCACACATGCGGGCCCAGGCGATTCAACTGTCGCCACAGGAGCTCACGGTGTTCCCTTTGTCTGAGGTGCCGATTGGACAGCTGAAAATTCTGGCCACAGCTGCCAACACCGGCCGGGGCCTCCGTCGCTACACGTGCCTGGAAAGACAATTCCATGTCATGACCCGCCGTGCGGCGGACGATTGGTCTTTGACAGACTACTTTGCTGATGCTATCGGCGCCAGCCCAGAGACAGTGCGGAGCGCCAGATTGTTGGATCCGTCCATGCCCAACCTGCAAGAGCCACAGATTGTCACCACGGCAATGGCACTCCCCGTGGGGCATGCTGTCATCCCTGTTGACCTTCGGGGTTTAGGAGGGAAGATCTGTTGTGTTGGGGTTGTTTTGGGGCTGAGGCTGATCAGGTCATTGCCTCCGTCGTCCAGGCCTGTGGAGTCCCTCCGGACTCCGTCGTCCGGGCTGCTCAGCTCAATGCTCTTTTCCTTCAGGACGCACGGGGCAGAGTCTGGAATGTCATGCCTGCACAGGTCGAGGAAATGCAGTGGCTAGTGCTCAAGGTCGACCTTGCCCGCCACCCATACCTGACTCCACAAGCTGCGGTTGGAACTACGGCCACCACTACAGCCATGAGAGCTAACCATGATGGCCCTACCACGGTCACGTTCATCATGTCAGGCTGTGGCACTACCGTCCGACTGCAGCCTCAAATATTGGCACAGACAGATGTACAGGCCTCGGTCATGTCCTTAGTGCAGGCTCTGGCCATCCAGGGCCGTATACCTGAGGGAGCGCAACTGCAACTCACCGGCGCTTTCCCGAGGTCGCGCACTGCCAACGAATACATTGTGTCGTTGATCTGCTTTCCTCCAGACGGTGATGTGCATATAGCCTACGACCCCTCCAACGGAGGTTCGTATTTCCAGGCTATGACGGTTAATCCAGGCACCATGCCGGAAGATATGGTCATGCCGGCCCAGAGAGAGAGGGGACTTTCGGTCCTTATCAATGGCATCCCTCAGGCTGCACAAAATCGGCCTCTATGCAATGGGGATCTGGTTCAACTGGTGCGTGACCCCTGTAGCCACTCGGTCGTCCCAATCACCTTCCTGTTGAGGGAGCTTAATCGGCTAAGATTCCTCTCGATACCCATGCGCATGCCTCGGCTCCAGCGCCCTTCTGCGCACTTTTCTGAGTGGCAAGCTCAGGCTGCGACTGGTCTGCAGCTCTTCTACGAGGCTAGATTTGCCGAACGTAAGGCCACCATGGGCATGCCTGACGCGCAGCATCAGCCAATCTATTTGTTGGGCCCCAACCACGTGCCCATCTTTGTCCAGATTCCGGGTATGTCGTGCCCTAGTCTGAGGCAGGCTCAAAATGAGGTACATGATCTGGGCCTCTTTGACGACAGCACGGCGCTTGCCGACACTTTTGAGCTGCTGTTCACCATTCCGGTCTTTGTCACGGTTCCCGAGTGTGTGTCGTATGCCACATTGTTGACGCCTGCGCCTGGGTTCCCGATGGATTTCCTCAGCTTTTCCGTCACCCGAGGGAGACCAGCTAGTGGGCTTCGGCTGCCGGTTGATAGTGGGTTTTACCTACTCATGCCAGAGACTGCCATCGACGGGGCCATTGCGGAAAGGCGCCGTGGCAACTTGGACAGTCTCCCGCCAGGCGCTCCCCGGACGGTGGCCTATCGAGGCCGTTCGGCACCTTCATCCAGTGAGCAAGCGCCTCAGTTTGCAGACGGCACAAGCCTGGTCCAGACGAACTGGCCCAAAGTCAAACGGCGTCAAGTCATTTTTGACAGGGCTGAGCACGACAAGACTCACGCTGAGACGCAACCTGCGGCTGCTCAGCGTGCTTCAATCCCTACCCCTCTGGGGAGGCGACACATACTTGAATGCAGCCAGGCCGCGATCGGGGCGCAGCATCCGGCTTGCCGTCCAATATCGCTCAGTTCTGCCATTCCTGAAGTCCAGGATTCTGAGCCGGGTCTCCTACTGGGGATAAACTGGGAGATTTTCGACTCGGTGTTCTCCCCGTTCTGCTTGGATCGCGCACACCAAACCTGGCAGGACTGTCCTTTTGTTGAAGATGGAGCTAGGAAGTTTGTTCAGCGACTCCCCACGTGGCGGCCGGGGACACCATTTCAAGCGTTGCACTTGTTTGTCGATGGCTCCTTCTTTGAGGCCAATAGTGCGGATCAGGAAGATAAAGCAGGATGGTCGATTTGTGCCATTGTCTGTGTCAATGAGGTCTGGCATTGGGCGGGTTTCTTTGCGGCCTCTTGTTGCCCGCAGGGCGACGACGCTTCTCTTGGCCTTCCTGTCAGCTCGGCCTTCCAAGCCGAATTGTCCGCCACGGTGTTTGCCTTAGCGGTCTGCGTCGCCAACCCCGTCCCTTCTGCAATCGGATTTGACTGCCAGTCGGCAGGAGCTGTTGCTGCGCTGCAAGCGAGCTCTAAGGACAACGGCGCGCTCGTGCAGGCGGCAGGAGATCTGCAAGCCATCTTGCGCCTGACAGGACACAGTCCAGCGCTCTATCACATCCGCTCACACGAGGGCCATCCTTTCAATTGCCTGGCAGATGGACTTGCCAAATGGATGGCGCAGCAACCGAACGCGACCGCCGCGTCAATTGGTTCGCTGGCTGAGGCTAGCAAGGAGGGGGTTTTGTCTTGGCTATGGGCGCTCTTTGCTCCCAGGGGTAGCCTGCCTCCCATTCAGCACTCAGGTAAAATCTGCGACCATGCTCCAGATCGGCAGACCCCTTCCCTGACTGAGGCCCTGGCCCCCTTCAAACCGTCGCCGCGTCGCAGCCGCGAGCTGGCCTTTAAGGCGATGACTTTCAATTGTCTGACGGCTGCGTCGACCGCTCAACAAGAAAGCATTGACATGCAGCTAGCCCGAAAAGGCATCTCGGTTGCCATGATCCAAGAAACTCGGTCCAACTGGGCGGGCCGCAAACAGTCGGCCAACTACCACATCCTGAGCGCACCCTCGTCTCAGGGAGTTGGCGGTTGTCAGATTTGGTTTGCTAAAAAGCAGTGCATCAAAGGTGACCAGGAAGCGCTACACGGCTGGGATCCCCTCGGTTTTAGTATCGTGCATGCCTCTGAGAGCATGCTGTTGGGTCTAGCTTCTGTTGGGGGACACAAGTTTTTATTCATTTCGGCGCATGCGCCGGTGAATAAAGCACCGGCAGCGGTTAAGCACAAGTGGTGGCAAAGCCTGAGCTCTGCGTTGCGGCGGGCACCGCCGAACTGCACTCCAGTCATGGGCATCGATGCCAATGCTCAGCTTGCACATGCAGACCCCTCCGACTGCCAGAATAATTGCCACTTCTTTGTGGATTGCTTGCGAGCTCATGGAATGTCGCATACTCCGTTCCATGATGCCAAAGGACGCCCTCTCACCACGTGGACGAGTCCGACCGGACTCCGTGTGTGCATCGATTACATTTGTGCTCCCTCTCCCCTCGGCAGCTCGCTGCTTTCTGCAAGGGTCTGGGAGGACTTTGTAGGGCAAGTAGATCACGACCACAAGCCGGTGATAGTCGATGTGCATGTCCGCTGCGAAGCCCAGGATCCCAACCAGGTGCGTCGATGTGACTATGACTTTCTGCGCTCGAGCGAAGGGCGCCACACCTTGCAGGCGCTTTACCGCAGCTTGCCAGTTGTTCCTTGGAACGTCGATGTTGACACCCATTTGGACACCATCAACACGCATCTTCGTGAGGGTCTTCGGCAGTTGTGCCCCTCCAGGGCTGACAAACCCCGAAGTCGGATCACTTCGGATGTGGCATGGGAGCTCATCAGGCACAGGCGCAGCCTCAAACGAACACTTTTCCAGCAGCGCGCTCAAGAGGCCAGCAGACTACTGGGGGTCTTCTTCGAAGCGTGGAAGGGCCAGGAACAAGCCCGGCTACATGCAAAAAAGCTCCACGACCAGCACATTGCTTTTGTCGCTAGGCAGGTTCAGGACCTTAACAAGCGCATCCGGCAACGTGCAGCCTTTGACTCTGCGGCTGCTGCCAAGACTGCCTTCAACGAGGCAAGGCACAAGGGTCCGGAGGCCCTGGCTTCCCTCATGCGCCAAATTCTGAAGTCGGGGCGTCGCTACAAGCCGCCCAAGCTAGTTCCTGTGCTTAAGGATGAATTTGGGGTTGCTAGGCCCGACCCTGAGTCCGACTTGGCCGAGCATTTTGCACAGGCCGAAAGAGCCACTGCATGTGACCCTAGCTGCGTTCGCCTACATCCCCCGGCGACTTTGCAACACAGCATTGAGGCTTGCAGGGAGACATCAGTCTCAGCATTGACTAACTCTTTCAGTCAACTTGCTGACCACAAAGCTGCTGGGCTTTGTGGTCTGCCCTCCGAAGTTTTCCGCCATGACGCACTTGGGGCCGGACTCGCATTCGGACCTTTGGCCCTTAAAATGTGCATGCGCAAACAGACTCCATCCCTATGGAGAGGCGGAGTCATGGTTTCAGTGCCCAAACCGGGCAAGTGTCCATTTTCCACAAGCGGTTGGCGCGCAATCCTGTTGATGGAATCAAGTGCCAAGGGCGTACATGGCGCTTTGCGTTCGGCTGTCATTGGTGGATACAAACGCATCCGTGAGGAGGCACAGGGCGGAAGCCTCCCGGGGCAACCGCTCCAAGTTGCCATGGCAGTGGTTCGCGGCTACGTCAGACACTTGCGTAGCACCTCAGCTTGCGGAGGAGTGCTCTTCCTTGATGGCGCTTCGGCGTTCTATTCTACGCTTCGTGAATCACTGTTTGGAACAGAGCACATGCACGATGAGGCTTCCATCCATGAGCTGGCCTGCCAGGTTTTCCCTGATGAAGATGACAGATTGGAGTTTGTTGCGCTACTCCTTGCGCCCGGCCTCTTTGAAGCCACAGGCATTGCCGAACCAGCCAGGCGTATCCTCACTTCCACTCTGCATCGCACCTTCTTTGTTTATGGCAAGGACTTCAATAGGGTTTTCCAGACGAGGAGCGGGACGGTCCCTGGGGCCCCGCTAGCAGATGTCTGCTTTCAGCTGGCCTTCTCTAAGGTTTTAGCTCAGGTGCGTCAGGTGCTGTGCGAAGCCGATCTTGACGTTCGGCTGGTGTCGCACGTTTCCCGCGGCCCGGTTGTCCCTGCCACGTCCTGGATGGATGACCTTGCCATCCCCGTCAAGGCGACTCAACCTTCTCTCTTGGTAGATGCAGCCAGGCAGGTACTGCACACCACAGATGAGGCCATTGCCCGTATTGGGGTTTCCCTCAATTTTGGGGTCGGTAAGACGGAGTTCCTCCCCATACTGTGTGGACCTGGGAGTCGCCAAGCCCGGGAAGAGCTGCTGGGTCGCACTGGTGGGGCCTTTCAGATCACTTTGAGGGGATTGCCTTCCTCGGTGACTCTCCCTCGCTCTTACATCCATTTGGGCTCTGTCATTGACGCCACCGCCTCTGATGTCCCTGACATCAAGCGTCGAGCAGCTCTTGCTCGTGAGCTGGCAGTGTCGCTCCGCAAGCTTCTGCACAATCCCCACCTCACTCTCCCTGAGAAATCCAACCTCGTGGCGTCGATGCCTCTTGCGCGACTCCGGCACGGGGCGGGCTTTTGGATTCTCGATGGCGATCAGTCCCGATCTGCATTCCACTCTGCCTATATGTGCATTTTGCGCATGACTTTTCGTCAAATCACAGGAGTGACCTCCAAAGGCCGGACGGATCATGAAGTTTGTTGGGGACTTCATTTGCTGCACCCTGAGGAGGCTAGGGCAGTTGATGTCATTCGGCACGCTGGGTGGATGATACAGGCTAAATTGGCTGCCATCACTGCCCTTTGGCTTGAACCCGGGGCCTGGAAGACGGAATGTCTCAAGGCGCTCGCAATCCTCTCACCTGTGTTGCCAGGCACCCCAACTCCGACTGCACTCTGGGATCTTCTCTTTCAACAGCCACAGCTGGCCAAGCGCTGGGCAAAAAGACTCACGAAGGTTTGTCGGAAGCGCAATGCCGCGCTCGGTGACGAGCTCCTGCCACGATGGCGAGAGCAGCAGGAGGCTTGTCGGGCCGGGTGGATTTTCTGCCGGCTACCCGACACCTCCGAGAGCCTTCTCGGGGAACATGAGTGCCGCATCTGCCACCGGGCATTCCGCTCGTTGGCTGTTTTGGCCTCTCATGCAAGCAAGGTGCATGACATGACAGCAGAGTCGGCACTCGCCACCTGCGGTACCCGCTGCGAAGTATGCCAAAAGGAATTTTGGAGCACTCGCAGACTCCATCAACACATGCGCCAGAACCCGGTTTGCCGTCAGGTGACGATCCATGCCGATCTTGAACCCGCGGCACTTCAGGGCGAACCAGGCGGGGCGTGGCTGCCCGCCATGGTCGTGCAAGGCCCACAGCCCTTCTGGGCGACCTTGAGGCCTTCGGATTCAGGCCCGCAGCAGGTCGTTACTCAGCGGTCTGGCTGGGAACACGTGTTGGGCCTACTTCATGGCAAGCGCTCCGGGGAGGAAGCCTTCTTGGCTGAATCTTTCGTTGAGTTGGCGACGAAATTCCACCTTACCGCAGAAGACCGCCCGCTTGCCACGCTTGGCTGTCCCTCGAGCGACCTGCTATACGTAGTTTTGGTCGCAGTACAGCTCAAGCGACAGGGTTTTTCAGGGTCACTTCGGGGCAAGCTCTGGAAGGGAGCGGTCCGAGGTGATCGTGCAGTTTTTTGCCCCTTAGGGGCCGAGCCAAAGTACACTGTGCCAGCTGACTGGCAAGAGTGTCTTGGCATGATTTGAGCCAGACCTATGCATGCTGTTTGAGCGCACCGGAGGGTTCGAGCATCCATCCAAAAAAAAACCCTTAGCTTACTCCGCCGCAACCGACACTATGCGTCGGGACTTTAACCGCGTAGTAAAACAACAGCTAAAACTCAAAGAGGAGGAGCCCTCCAACTCCAATTCTAACGCGCACTGGGACGTGTATACAGACGGCTCAGGATCCCGAGGCAAATGCACTAGTGTTACTCCGGCAGGGTGGGGCATTTATATCGAAGATCAGGATGGCTGGTCCACAGAAGCCTGTGGGCCAGTCGAAACTGATGAGTACTCCGCCAACTACCTAGGAGCAGCAGTGGGAAGTAACAACACGGGAGAACTTACCGCCTGGATGGAGGCAGCGTTATATATATATTAGCTCTGAGTACACCGCCGGAACGTGTCACCTTTCACTACGACAGTCAATGGGCAGCGCACATGGTCACAGGTAATTTCAAAGCCAAACGACATAAAGCGCTGGTCCGAACGGCTAAACAAATCTACCAGGAAGTACACCGCCAAACATCAGTTCACTGGCAATGGGTAAAGGGCCACACAGGAAACGCGGGTAATGAACACGCAGATAATTAAGCTAGCTGAACAAGGCAAGAATCAGAGTACACCGCAAGGGGGCAGACACACCATCACACCGTTGTACACACCAGCGCAGATAGAAATAATGGCCGCCGAACGTCCACCAGATCCTATCATAAAACCACAGGACTTTGTTAACGCTCTCCTAGAGGCCGAAAAACAGACCATCCCAATGCTCACACGACGTCCACGCAACCCATGGATTACTCCCGAGCTGGCGCAGGAGCTTCACGCGGCGAAAAGGCTAAGGGCAGCGCACGACAATACGGCGGTGGACACATACAAACGTCTAAAGACAAAGGCGCGAAAACACAAAAGGCAATGGCTGCGGGATAAGGTCTCGCAGGCCAACGCAGAATCCCACACATCCCTTTGGAGGGTGGTTAAGACCTTCAAACGCGGCTTTAGAGAGCGCAAATCCAGGCTAAAACGCAACGGCACCCCTGTACCATGGTCGGAAAACCACAAGGTGTTCGCCGACTTCCTCAGCACGCAGCAATGGGGCCCCACCACGGTCACCACCGAAGAAAGACAACTCCTTAAAGAATCCCCGCCACTGGCTACACCGCCAACGCGCCCCCCTTTCCCTTTCACAACCCAGGAATTAACGGATGTGATAAAGGACCTCAAGCGCAACAAAGCCCCAGGACCAGACCGCCTGCCCGCAGAAACTCTAAAGCTATTAGATTACGTAGTAGAAGCGGAACTCCTTAAGGTTATCAATCACTGCTTTGTAACGCGCACAGTTCCTGACACGTGGAAAGAAGCTAATATAGTTAGCATCTTTAAGGGAAAGGGGGACGACTCAGATCCCGCCTCATACAGGCCGATATCCCTTCTCAATGTAGTATATAAAGTCTACGCAGCGCTGCTACAACGCCGACTAGCAGCCGCACATGATCACATACTTCGGGAAACACAATACGGCTTTCGTGCAAATCGAAGCACACTACAACCTCTATTTATCCTCCGGAGACTACAAGACTACTCCCTAAAAACAGGACAACCTATGCATGTAGTCTTACTAGATTGGAAGATGGCTTTCGATAAGGTTGACCATGAATCGATGTGTATAGCCATTGAACGCCTTGGAGTACACCGCCACTACGTCGATATTATTCGAGACCTATATTCAGGACAATCTTTCAATACACTTGGCATGCAGGGTTCACAAGAAACGGCTAAACCGCACACGGGCATCCGCCAAGGATGCCCTCTGAGTCCATATCTATTTATAATGGTTATGACCGTATTGATGCACGATGTGGACGCTAGATTGCGCACACACGGTGTACCTACAAATACTTGGTCGGTTGGTAAACCAGTTTACGATCTCGAGTATGCTGACGATACACTACTGATCGCTGTGACTAAACCGCAAGCTGAAGAATTTCTTCGAGCTATTCAGGTAGAGTCCTCCCTGTACGGCTTATCGCTTAATTTAACCAAAACTGAATTGCTCACACACCCCCAATCACTCCCAGGACACATACACTATGTTAACGGAGATCCAGTAGTTAACGTTGAAGAAGCTAAATATCTCGGCACGCAAGTATCCTGGAGCCATCCCACCAAAACCGCCATAGAAGCGCGCAAAAATAAAAGCCATGTAGCGTATCTCAAACTACAGAACTTGTGGCGCAGTAGAATCAATATCAGAACCAAAGTAAAGATATTTATGGCCAGCATAGTACCAGTTCTACTTTATGGACTCGAGGTCCTCTCTCTGGAAAACAGACACCTGAAAACCATTGATGCTTGGTTCCATAGATACTTACGAAGATGTATCGGAGTAAAAGTTTCGTTCTACTCGCACGTAACCAACGAACGGGTATGGAAAGTCGCTGGTACCGCCCCTTCCGTCCCAGACCTTGATTGCCCGACAACTTCAACAGCTCGTGGACATCTTGGCTAAACCGCCTAATAACCCACTACACCACGTCGTCTTTTCACCAGGCTACAAGGATAGAGTTAAATTTACTAAATCAAAGCATAGAGGCCACCCATGCCGCTATTGGTTTGAGTTAACAGTAGAGAGAGCCCTACCAGTATACCACCACTACCTGGACCACACCGCCCCGAACCAGTATAGGGACTTCAGAAGGGACTTTCTCGGGTTAAAACAACTCCTTCAAGCGTACCCCGCCTTTACATCGCACCTGGTAGCTGCGCCGACGCGCCAGCCAGAATTACTCCGCTTTCTGCAATGTACAGTCGGGAGCGCATGGCAGCCTTAAACCCTTAGCTTCTTGTACCCCCATGTGCCAGCAAAGCATCGACCGGAACCCTGAGATCTCATACCTCAAACCCTAGACCGTCGCATACCGTCGCCCCCATACAGCGCAAACCCCAAACCCGAAATCCGACACCTCCATTAATTAGGGTTTAGGAAACACACAGACAGCGTCCCAAGCATGAATCCTAATGACTAAAACATCTACAACCGTAACCCAAGCAGTCTGAAGTACGTCATCTCAGATCAACCTGCACTGCACATGAAGCAAGCCTACACTGTGAGGTTTCAATCTTCAACCCAAAATTCCAACCCCTGGGACCGTCACTGCAAAACACGCGCAAAAACGCCCTTCAGCCTTCAACGCTACACAGTTAGACCTGGACCTCGAAACCAGAAGCCGAAACCCGAAACCCTGACCCCCCCCCAACCAAAAAAAAGAGAACCCCCTAAATCTACATTAAACCCCACCCATTAGAGCACTACAACCCTCTCTGCAGAATAAATTTTCTGTAACCTTACATTACTGAAAGCGTCTAAACCGAAAGTACCTAAACCCTAAGCTCTTCGGATTGGGCAGATATGAAAAAAGAGCTCCCAAAAATCTAAGTCCCTGAACCCACAGTCCCCTAAACCCTAAACCCTAAACCTTTTCCAAAATCCGAAGCTCGCGCGAGGTCGGTGCACCGCTCCACGTCCACGTGAAGCCCGGGGAGGCCGAGCTTCGGATTTAAGATCCCACGGTTTAGGGTTTAGGGGTTTAGGGGTTAGGGGTTTAGAGTTTAGGGTTTAGGGATTTAGGGGTTAGGGGTTTAGGGGTTTAGGGTTTAGGGCTGGCCTCAAAAATTAGAATAGGGTTTCGGGGGTATATTATATACTAGAATTGTAGAATTACAATAAGGAACCCCACGAAACCCTATTCTAAGTATTAAAGTGCCTACACTATCCGGATTTATTCCCAAAGGGTCCGTTGTTTAAGGGGATCTGTAGTGGGGTTTTATAATCATAGTAGGGTTTGTTCCGTACTACGCCCAGAAGGGATAGGTCTTGCAGTATATCGGTTCAGAAGGTTTCGGAGGGTTTGGGGTTCAGGGTTCAGGATTTAGGGTTCGAGGCTTCCCTAAAGTTTGGAGGGCTTGGTGACTTTGGGTGTGCAGCGTAGAGGCTTGCAGTGTTCATGATATTCGGCTTACAAGGTTTAGGATTTGGGTTTGAACGGTCACGCCAAAAGCCAGAATGACCACCCTCCCAGTAGCTTCGCTTCATGTCTATAGATCCTAAAGAACACCTCCCGAACCCTAAACTCTAAACCCGAACCCCTACACATCATGACCTGCAGGTGTCCGCCTTTGCCATTGAGGTCGTCAAGGGGCTAGCTCCTGGGCTGCAACGATCCTACAAAGCTCTTACTGGGAGGATCATGGGACTTAGTAAGTAAGGTTATAAGTACCTTAATTGGGGTTATAAAGGGAGTTATAAGTATAGTTGCCCTAATTATAACCCCTAGTTACTAAGTCCCATGATCCTTTAAGTAAGTGGGAGGGTTAAGGGCTTTCAGTATGAGTTTAGCGTGTCTTTGTTAAAGGTCTGTCTTGGGGTCCATGGAAAGGGGACACGAAGTTTCGGATACCACGTTGTAAGGATTAACCACCTGCCCTTTCAGGCCACGGACTTGCCTTCAAGCTCTAAACCCTAAACGATGAGAAAATCAGAACAGGCTAAAACTACAGGAATTGAATGGACGGAAACGCTGTTCCACTTTAAGAGCATCCTGGGGGCTCAAAGTCCCCGAAGTTGTAAGGCTATGACCTTCCAAGAGTCTTCAGCTGGAAAAGACCACCTCCTGAAGAGCCATGCAGCAAAATCGTTCCAGAGCCCCCAAGCCGATTGCAACCCCTAAACCCTAAACACTAAAGTCCGACTAGTTGTGCGTGAAGTGTATCAAAAAAAGTCCGGCTAGAGCTGTATGGAATCTAGGCCTCGAGTCCTCGGCTCCCTTCCTGACCAGGCTTCTGTGTGCCTGAAAGCGCAGCCCGGAAAGCCTCGGAGCCACGAGATTTTATAGCCTGAGCCTGCAGCTCTACACTTTGCAAGCCCTGAAACCCTAAAGCGCCCTTAAAATAAGAAACGAAGCCCTAAGCCCTAAATCCTGAAACCCCCAATCTCTAACTGGAATCCAAAACATGTGAGGTTCGCTTGGGCTGGGCTGCACCAGATGCAGACACGTCCCCAGCGGACTTGGGAATGTGAGCTTTGTGACATCTTGCGCATGTGAAAGAACACCGAACCTTTCAGGGCGTGTGGGGTTCGGCGTTCATGCATGTGCAATCAGAACTCAGTGTTCCACCCAATGTCGTGAAGGTTTTGTTTGGGCTTCAGGCGAGCGGGGTTTAGAGTACTTGAACCTGTGGCCCGAAACCCTGTGACCTCTAAAGCACAAGGCATTAAAACTCTACAGCCTGTTGCCCTATGCCACTATGCCAGTAACCCCAAGCCCTTAGACCCTAAACCCTAGAACCTAAACCCCCAAAAAACCTAACTTTAAAACCTGAACGCAAAACCCTGAACCCTGACTCTGGCACCCTGAACATGCCCCGGTCCTTGTGGGAGATGCACTGGGAGCCCCCAATGGAAGGCTGTTTGATTTGAGACTGTTTGATTTAGGGGTTAGGCTTTAGGTGTTAGGGTTCAGGGTTCAGGATTTACGGTTTAAGCTTGGGGTGTGGGCAACCCCGTCATCCCTAAACTGAGCTTATGGATTTCGGATGTAAGGTTGGGGTTTTAGGTTCACCCTACACCTGAATGGTCAGGATAATGCCGGTGTGAGCTCGGTAGGAGCCGGAGCCTTCCCAAACTTGTGCCGTTTTGAAAAAAGAAATTTCCATGCTCGCAACGCTGCGGCCCCAAAGCCTCAGCCAAAATGCGCAAGCCCCCTCTCAAAAACAACTCTACACGTAACATTTTCTAGAGCCCGAAACCCTGCACTTTCTGCACCCCTATAGAAACACTTTAACAACCTGAGGCCTTAACCCCCCAACCAGCATGTTTGTGCTCTGAGTTACAAAATCCTAAACCCCAAGCCTGAAACCCTAAACCTGAAGCACGGAACCCCAAACCTGAAACAATAAAACCCAAACCGCTCACCCTAAACCCCGAACCCTAAACCTGAAACCCTGAGCCCTAAAGCCCTAAAACCCTAAACGCTGAACCCTACAACCTAATTGAGGCGGTTGCCGAACTTGGTTGCAGCTCCGGCAGCTTCGGGTTTGGCGGCACAGGGAAAAAGGCCCGAGACTTGTTCTTTCCATGAAACAGTACAGACTCTCAGTATATAGTATGTCTTTGTAGCTGAGTGGATACACTTTACACTGTTTTCGACAATACTAATTACCCACTATAAAACTAAAAGTGTGCACTTTGAGGGGCTTCTGAACTCAGCAACTAAGACGTTTAAATGGTTAATATCCAGCTGAGACTGTTGAGTTAATATGTAGTTCACGAACTTCCGGCCCCAAAGTTGCTTCTCATGGCCCCTGGGAGCAGCAAACCTCTCGAGTTTGGGATGATAGCGGTTTCTGAGTTTAGGGCTTGGGGTTTAGGAGTTTAGGGCTTTAGGGGTTTAGGGCTTTAGGGGTTTGGGGCTTTAGGGGTTTTTTGGCGATGCGGCATGAGTCGGTAACGACGCGCTCGCGAATTCAAAAAGCATGCTCACAAAAAGGGCCAATCGCGTGCTACAGCACTGCGTAAGGCCACAGCCGGTCCGAAGAGCAAAGCTCCGTTCCGGTATGCGGCTGCGAGACTGCCCTCCTGAAAGATGAACATCTCGTCAGCCCGGTCCAAAACATCGGCTACGGAAACGGCCAATCGCCAGTGTTCCGTGCCCTGTACAACCCCTTTGATCGCTTCCATGACTCCGTCATGGCCATGCATCTCTACCGAACACGCAAAGAGCTGAAAGAAAGAGTGGAGCTGCCTTGTTGGCGAGAGTGCCAAGAGGCTGGGCAGCGGGTCGTTTGCGCCGGGAGATGGAATAAGCGTTGCAAGGGGATCGTGAGCCATCGTAGCCCACCAAGGTTGGGGACCAACCAACTGTGCGCACGGCACGCGGCGGTCAGCGATGGCCTCCGTGACGGTTCCAGCCATATCGGATTCCCGATACACAGCCGCGCAATGTGGAGCCTTTCGGAAATGCTCAGCGAGTCTCGCTGTACTCCAATATTGACGCCGGCATACTTCACAGGCTGTGCCAAATGCCTGCGCGGACGCTGACAAGTGGCCATGAACTTTTGAACGATGCGCTGCAGCAGCTGCTCTCGTCACAAACAGAGCAGGGCAATCCGGGCACTGGTAGCGGAGCTCACGGGCAGAGCACCTAACGTCACGAATGAACGTGAGATCGGCCTTCGTGACTCTCTCATGCGCATGTGCCTTGGCGATGGCAGGTTCAACCAAGTGCTCCCTGCTCGCAATACAACCTCGCCGGAAACGGGCCAGCAGGTTTTTGGCATGGGCCTGGGAGAATGGCCATGAATCCAGCCAGAGTTCTGGTGGCATATCGCTGCATGAGTAGCTGGCAAGCACGGGATCGTTGATGCGTGAAGCGACAAGGGCAAGGTCGGCTCGCAATTGCAGCATCCAGGTGGCATGCTGTGAAAACTGCCTTTTTGCGAAAAGACCTGCATTGTGAGCCACACAAGCGAGCAAACGGACGCGAGCGACAGCCAAAACCTCTTCAGGCAGAAGGGCAGTGGTCAGCGCGCACACTTCAGCTTGGGAGAGACGGCCGCTAGAACACCCATGAAGCGGCCTGATGGTTCCCTTGAGCAAGCCGCAGTAGCGAGCGACAAAACCGTCCCAAGCTTCATTGGTACCGAAAAGCCAGGTTCCCGCGCCGTGTAGGAAGCGGCTCATGATGAGTGCATGAACAATCGCTTGCCGCTCGTGCATCGTCAGATTGGGATTAGGGAGTAGCCTGGTCTTAACGGCTCGGTAGACGCTACGCGCCTCTCGGTGTCTGTGCTCGACTGCAGGGCCGATGTCGCCACCAGCAGTACGCAAGCTGCCCAAATGCTCGTACTGCGAGACACATCGTAAAACCAAGCCAGTGTGTCCCGGTATATGTAAGGTTACGCTGCCTGCCTCCCTCTGCATGACCTGAGTTTGTGCTTCGTGCGCACCAACGCCATGCCAAGCAACAATGGCCTCAGTCTTGCCTCGAGTGAGGTTGAGGCCGATGCCAATGAGACTGAGGTATTGGTGGATGAGGGCCGTAGCACGGGCAGCATCACCCGCTGCATGTCTGGCAGTTTGGGATTGCAGCAGAACAGCAACGTCATCCAGCCACGACACAGGATCTGACAAAGCAGGATCGTGTCCAGCGACAGTCAACTGGGCAGAGAGCTGTTCGTCAGCGAGATGTTCCGTGAGGGCAGTCAGAACGCTGTGAAGAGCGTATTGGAAGAGCAGGTCTGCAAGTGGTGCTCCCGGTGTCGTGCCCTGGGTGGTACACTGAATGGCCTCACTGCCTGTATCCGTGGTGAACCACGTCTTGTGTAGCAAACACCGCAAAACATCACACAAAGCACTCGGCACCCCAGCGCCAGAAAGGGCGCCCTTGCAGTCAAGGTGCTGGAGAAACCTATGTCGCACCCCAGGCTCAACTTGCATCTCAGACACACGCTTTCTGTAGGCGGGCAGACCTTGCTCAAAGAGGATTTCTCTCGTCGTGGAGTAGAAAGCAGTTACGCCGTCAACAAAGACGACGGATCCCGAAAGGGAATCTCGCCTCAGTCGCTCAAGATGTAGCTGCACGGCTGCCGCGGGTAGGTCAGTCGGTACCCGGCTTCGGGCACCCCCAACTGTGCTGAGCGTGACACCTTCAAAGGCGCGAATGAGCTCGGGACGGGCAGCCTTAGCAACTGCTTTGATGGAGGGTTCCATCAGAGCTATGGATCTGTACCCTGTAAGAAGGTGTCCAGGTTTCCCCGGTTTTGGCAAGGGGACAGCGAGCAAACCTCTCCATAGCGTCGGGGCTTGCTGACGTGCTGCCACCTTCAACACCAACGGCAAGTGGTGCATAGCAGCAAAAGCCGGACAGGCAGCATAGAACTCAGCCGGAATACCGGTAATTCCTGTGGCCCGCCTGGGCTGCAGAGATGCAAACGCGGCGGACAAGGCCGGCAACGTAGGAAGGCCCTGGATATCTCTCTTGTCACATAGTAGATTTTCGCAGGGTTCTTGAATCATGTCACTCAGCCTACCTGGCTTAGCTCCCTCAATCTCCCCAAAGTGTTGGCCGAAGAGCTGCTTGATCTGCTCAGGGTCTGTCACCTCATGGCCCTGGTCGACGATGGCACTAGCAGTCCTCGGAGCCTTATAGCGCCTGCCGACCTTCAAAACGGAGCGTAAGAGACTCGCGAGGTGGGCAGGCCCTTTGCCTCGTGCCTCTTGGAACATGGCTCGGGAAAAGGCCGCTTCATCCCGACTGGAGGAAGCTCGGATCTCCTTGGACACTCTTTGCATGTCTGCAATGTGGCGTGCACAAAGGCGGTCCCAGGCCTGCGGCGCATATCCCCATGTGGAGGTGGGGCTGGTACCGCTGAGGTGCTGGTTTCGCCAGGCTCGGAAACAGGTGTACAGCACATCCTTGCATTGCTGCCGGGACCGCCTGTGATGGATACGGCGTAGCCCGCGTTTCGTTGCGAGCAGTTCCAGGGTCTGGTTGGATATGCCAGGCTTGCGCCCAACCGGCCCAGAGCGTGTGAAATGCTGTTGAAGGCATGCCTGGATGTGCCGGTTGATGACCTGCAGGTGCTCATCAGGGGAAAGGTGCCAGGGGCAATCCGGCATCGTAAGGAAACAATGCTGCACAATGTCGCGACCCTCAGGGCCCTTCAGGCGATCAACATCGAGACGGCGTCTGATGGGCCGTGGGCTGTGAAGTTGAACCGTAAACTCTGCGAGCACTGGCTGGTGGTCTATACCTGCGTGGGTATCCAAGATGTCATGGACCCCCATTTCATCGAAGGTATGCTGCCACGCTTGAGGGATAGCAATGTAATCCAGACATGCCCAGACTCCTTGCGGCGAACGCCATGTACGGTAGGTCCCCCCTGAACGGTCGTGAGACGCAGTCCGGCACAGGCAATGCTTGCTACAAATCTGCTGAAACTCTGTGGCATTGGGATTGTCAGGTGACTCACCGGGTGTGTGCCGCGCATTGGCATCAACCAGCAAAACGACTTCAGAATGAGCCGGAATCGCATCAAGGCGAGCATCGAGTAGTTCCCACCAGGATGCGCGGGTCTGCGCGTCTTGTGCCGAGTCCGGGGCATGCCCTGCAACAAAAGTAGCCTTGAAACCATCTTGGTGCAACAGCACAACCAACATCCGTGGATTGCTGAAGAGCACACGGAAGTCTTGTGGGCGGTAAGGCAAGGCCCGTAAATCAAACCACAGCTGGCAACCCTGTCTGCCCTCAGGTGCAGGTGATGCAATCCTCAACATGCCATCGACAACTTGGGGTCCTTGCAAGTTCTGTCTGCATTCCTGCAGGCCAACGACGCTGACCTTCTTTGCTCGCATGAATTCAGCAAGGCAGCGGCGCTGAAGCGCGCTGGTGCATGACAAAGTATTGTACGTCATGCATCGGAAGAGGAGTTTGCGAGGTTTGGTTGGAGGGGCTGCAGCAGGCGTCTCAAACTGCCAGGTTGCCGGAGTGAGCAACGCCGGGCCTTGTGCGGCAGGGCAAATAGGCTTACTGGCCCCATCCGGATCAATCTGTGGCCAACAACTGCTGGCAGTACTGGCTGCATGGATCCATAGCCAGTCAAAGTCACCGGCAAGGATGCAGGCATCAAGATTCTCATCAGCAGGGGCACAGGGCTCTAGTTGTGCTCTTAGCAATGCCTTAGCCAAGCTATCGGCAGCTTCGTTGCCAGCGTGTCCTTGATGGGATTTGACATGCTGGCAAGCAACTGGAACATTGCGGTAGAGGGACAGGAATTGCAACGCCGCCGTAGCGCTGCCGAGGCGCGTGCGCGCAGTTGTGGCGGCAGTAGCGGCTGCGACACTGGCTGCAGAAGTGTTGTCGTAAAAGATAGCACTTGGCACAGAGTGTCGTGCCACAACACCGCGCGCTACAAACTGTGCATATAGTTCGCCTTCAAAGGCAGATCCTGGGCTCAAGCAATCCGCAACAAAGCCGCAGAAGTAGCCCGCCCAGAACCAAGTACCCTGAACTTGAACGACAGCAGCCACTGCCCACGTACAATGTCCTCCCTCAAACGCCCCATCCAGAAACAACATAATTGCTTCGGGTGTGCTTCTCGACCAGACCGGGAGCCCATAAACAAGTTGACGCGCAGCTGGGTGCAGGAGCTCTGAGGCTGGCAACCTACGCTGACAATGCGCAAGGTCAAAGGAATCGAGCGTAGGTTCCATGACATCCGCGGGTACAGCAAACAGGAGGCTGGCTTCACGGGCAGGAGCAGGGATTGCTGTGTCCAGCACAAGTGCGCTGCCGTCACGCGCTACCCTATCATCGCATTTGGCGGACAAATGGCCAGGTGCGTCCTGTACCTTAGTAGGTTCCCTGCGCGGTATGTTCCGGCGGCCAAACGGCGTCGGCAGACCTTGCCGTCGGTTGGTACCACATGGTGGCTCTCGTGCAGAAGCGGCCAGTGCAGAGCCACCTCTATGTAGGTCAGGGCTAGGGCAACGCTGGCTGCGACGCACAGTGGTCTGGAGGAGACTCATGCTGGACGTCGCTTCGGTCTCAGCTCTAGGCGCCATGTCTTCATCGTCAACCTCAGGGTCGGGGCGGATTGCCGGCTGTTGTGGAGGCTGTTGGGCAGCAGCAGGCTGGGCAGCTTGAGGTGCAACAGGGGGTGCCACAGGAGGCGGAGGTGGGGGCTCATCCAGGCACAACCGCAGCACACGTCCAGGACTCCAACGTCTTTCGGCGATAACACGGAAGTTGTGGCCGATCGGCAATGCTCCAAGCCCCGGTGCATTCTGAGGGGCCAGCAAAATAACATAATGTCCAGGCCAGCCGTATGCAGGAAGCAACAAAGTGGCAAGGGCAGAATGTCGGGCTGAAGAAGCAAACACTGAAGTGCACCTTTCATGCCTGAACTGTGCCTCTGCATAAGAGATAGAGCACAACCTACCCGGGAAGTCATGGAGTTCGTTGACCGCTTCTCGCATCTCAGTATGGTCCGGGATGTACTGGTGACGCGTTCTAAAAGCGGCAGGCGCATGACAAGGCCCCAGAACCATGCAGCGTCCTTCGGCGTGCCTATAAAAACCCAGACTGGCCCTACGCTGCCGAGCATTGCGGACAATGGGGGTAGGTAGCCCCCACGTGTAGGCTTCGAGCAGGGGACAGGCTTCCAGAATCACAGATGTTGGAACAGAGAGTGGGAAGCCCCCTTGCAACGTAATCTGGACAAAATCACCATCATCGATACCACGCTGGCAAAGGTGGATGGGCGCGCCATTGACAAAAAGAGTCCACCCCTGCTGGTAGCACGCCGGCTCCATAGCCGCGTGGCAAGATAGGCCCTGAACACTACGCACAACAACTAGCGAGCCTGCACTGGCCAAGTGTCTGGTGTCGAAAACAGACCAGACGCTGCTGGTGTCTTCTAGCACCACGAACACAGTCTCGTGAGCAGGCGTGGTGGAGCTGGGCTGTGCCTTAGCGAGCATGAGTCTAGCCGTGGGCTGCAATGGGCCGGTAGCAGTCTCGACCCTGCGCAACAGCCAGCTAATGGCGCCATCGATCTGGAGGCAGGGCAGTTGAATAACTGCCTGTTCACAGTGCCTGCCGCGAACAATCTTCACTTCTAGGGAGTGGATTTCCGCTACAGAATGTCTTGGAGGTCGCGATGGGTAGTGGGGGTAGTTGACAAGCATGGCCGTGGTGGTGGAAGTAGAAGTGACACTGCCCGGCGGAGGCTGCCAGGTGTCTGAAGCAAAGGCGGCTTGGGCCAATCCCTGAAAGAGGGCGACTTCAGCCCGCACATGCTGCGTCTCTTCAAAATCGAGTGGGAGCACGTCTTCCAACAACCCCAGCGCGTCAACTAAAACCACATGCCCGTTACGCCACCCCTCAAGTAAAGCAGGTGCCTGAGGCAGTGGCTGCACCACCTGCTGGAAGGCTGTCACTAGGTCCTGGCCCTTAGACAGCGCCTCAGTGCGCACAGGCTGCTGAATGGGGCGTAGATCCCAGACCAGAGTGTCCAGAGGTTCAGCATGCGCCGCCTGATGCAATACAAGCTGAGGCAACGGGAAGCCAGGGACAGGCGCGGTGAGAACTCTGATGCGACTGATGGCAACGGGCGTCGCCTGAAGTGCCTTGCCCACGCACATTTGCAGCGAGTCCTTGGGGTCACGTGGGAGAACACGGACTTGATGCAATGTATCGAAGACTGTGAAGTGGGTCGTCTCCTCCCCTTCCCGGCCTCCCCACGAAAGTTGCACAAGCTCTCTCTGGAGCGCAGCTGGTTTGTTCAGATAGTCAGGCACGATCCGAACGTGGCTTGAGCAAGGCAGGCCTGTGCTGTGTGCTGCAAGTTTGCCGAGGAGCGAGGGAGGCAGCCCAACATCAGCATCACCAGTCGGATGAGGGACTTGCACAACGTTGTCGGCCGGCAGCTGCAAAAGGCCGGCCTCATCGCCAGCAACCTCCCCTGCAGCATCTGCCAGCGAAAGAGGATCCAAATGCCCCGCAGGGACAGGGGCATGTGACAAGGTGAGCCACTGGATCGAGGTCAAGCTTGTAGGAAGGTGGCCCCAAACCTGTCCTTGGGCATCACACAGCTGTAGTCGGTGACTGCTGAGGGGATCTTCAATGGCAGCTCGCAGCTGCGGAGCAGCCAAGGCAATGGCCTCGAGCACTGAGGTTCGGTCAAAATCGGGCGGGAGCAAAAGAGGAAGCACACCGTATCCCAGTCCGCGCAGGTCAATCGGAATAACAGTTGAGTCCCCAATTTCACTTCCCTCAGTGAGCGCGACCTGGGGCGTTGGCAGTCCTGGCATGGCCACTGTCAGCATTTGCAGTCGGTGCAAGGTCGTCTCGGCAAATTGCGCGCTCACCCGCATGAAGTCAATCATCGTCCAGTCGACGCTGCCCTGCACTGACAACGGAGCATGCGTAGCGACAAAGACCGTGAACGTCACCGACCTGGAGACACTCCCCGCATTGAGTGCCGGGCGCAGGTCCGGCAGCATACGCAGGCGTGCCAGCGGCACGTGGTACGCTGCCTCATGCAGCACACCTCTTGGCAACAGCTCGACGCCGTGGAGCTCGCTCGGTAGAGCTGATCTGGAGGCAGAGTCAGCACGCAGCAGAATCTGTTCGAGCTCAGACAGAGTAGGGGGCTCCTGCACATCAGACGTGGTGGTGGTGCTGGTCGTGGATTCGGCCTGCGCTGCATCCGGTCCGCCAGTGGGCTGTATACGGAGCCACTGGAGCTGGGAGAGATCGGCCGGCAGCACGTCCCAGATTTGGCCCTGAGCATCAAGGATAAGGCAGTCCCTGGGCGCGCACGCGAGTGCGAAAGCGGGGCCAGCCGGACACTCATGACAAGCTAGCTCAATAACCTCTTGCGCCGTGAGCCCAGGTCGCATCAAAAGGGTACAGGGCCGGCCACCATGGGGCCTCATGTCAATTGGGACACAAAGATGGCCAAACGCAGCGGCAGCTGGCGTGAGCACAAGCTGAGGCACGGCTAAGTCAGGCAAGAAGCTGGTCAGGACGCGTACAGACCTGATCCTTTCGCCTGCGGTGCGCACAGCCTCGGTAGCCAGATCTTGCAGCGACCAATCGTTGGCCGCGGTGCGCTGTTGATGATGGCGTAGCCGATCAAACACAGAGAAGCGCAAGATGCTCCGCGAATGGCCGGGCTCCAGGGCAAACAACCCAATCTGATCCACCGGGGTTTCGACAACCGGATATCGTGCCAAGTGCTCTGGCAGCACTGTGACTGAGCCAATGCAGATTTTGCTGATGTCCGATGGCCTAGACGGGCCCTGTTTACACGGGAAGCTGTGAACCTCTTCTACGCCTGGACGACTGAGAGGGGTCACCTGGAGAGCCTCAGCCTTGGAGAGCCTGCCTCGAACCTGGGACTGGCAGGTACCCAATAGACCCGGTTAGACAGATTCCTTCGATTTAGATAGATGCTTGCGGCGCCACACAGATTAACCTTATTCGTGTTTGCCGACGACAACAAAAGTTGACGAAGCTTCGACAAATAGTTGTCTAAACTACGAAACTATTTCGTCAGATCGTGTGGTCCAAATCTATAGATTTCTACGATTTCGACTGTTCAGGTCGGCGCAGATGCGCAGGAAGTTTAGTGGAAATTTCAACTAAACTGCTTCGGGAGGCCCGGGCGAGACCCTAGCAGTTTGGAGGGCTGAGCGAAGCAGTTTGGTAGCAGTTTGCTGTGCTCTTTGACTGACGATGTATATGCAAAACTGCACTAAAGTAAAAGCTGCTCCTGTTGATCTTTCCGTGGAGATCTGCACAGGTAAAGGTAATTCTTCTGGTCTTTCTGGAGCTCAACAGACAGGCAAAGGTATAATTCTTCATGTCTTTCTGTGGAAGTATGCACAGAAGTAAAGGTAATTCTTCTGATCTTTCTGGAGCTCAGCAGACAGGCAAAGGTATAAGTCTTCAGATCTTTCCGTGCAGATATATGCACAGAGGTAAAGCTAAATCTTCTGTGATCTTGCCGGAGCTCATCAAACAGGCAAAGGTACAATTCTTCAGATCTTTCTGTGTGGAAAAAGTTAAACTCGATTTAAAAATGTGTGCCTGTATGTATCACACATATGTATATATGGTATAGGTAGGTATGATTCTTTTAGAGAAGCTCTTGGTATAAATTGTCTCTCTCTGTCCTTTTGCTTTGTCAAGCTCGCAAAATTGACACTGTTCCCTTTGGGTCTCTCGAGGTTGTTCTTTCTTACTCTTTCTGTCTGGTGTTTCTCGCACCCTCAAGGTTGTATTCTCTCTTTGGTGTGCCTTTCTCACTCAAGGTTGTGCTCTCTCTTCGGCGCCTTTCGCCGTCTCCTTCTTGAAGTAGATGTAGACCACAACTGTACCTGACAGGTCTTGTCTGTGAGTGCGAAAGCTTCCGAGAGAATATCATGTCTCCTGTGGGCTGTGGTATAGAATGACGAAGAATCCAAAATATGATCACAGAATACCCACACGACAACGAAACCCATCCCATCCATATATAGGGTTATTGTGGGTGTTTATAAAGGGCTCATAGATGGTCTCCGGTATGTTTGAAGGGCTTATTAGATGTTGCAAAAAACGGCTGGTGTGAAATTCGGACATCCCAGAGGTCCTTCTTTTTCAGGGTGTGGCTGCCTTGGAGTGCTCGGAAAACTTCAAGTGAAGTGCAACACGATAGCGGCCCGCGATCTTGAAGCATGCACCAGTGGGTCCAAGTCTCCTCACACTGGCCTTGCCCAGAGCCTGAACTCTTCTCTGCTGGTCCTCGCCAGCAAAGGCCCAAACCAACCTCGGCGACAAACAATGAGAAAGCATGGAGCTGTGTTGTAGAAAATGTGCCTTCTCAGTTATGCTCATGATGATGGCGGGGTCGGAAGCAGCAAGCTCTTGGGAGATGTTATACTGCAGCAGCAGCATCCCGTCCAGGGCCTCTTTGAAAACACCAGCATCACTACCAAAAGAAATGTCGCCACGGTGAGCAAGCAGAATCTCCTCGATACGGGCATTCAGTCGCAGCATGATGCTTATCTGGTCGTGCAGGACCACCCCTGCAGTCTTGTGCATGTCCCATACTGCTGCAAATGGACCTGCCAAGTATTTTATTTCGGCAGCCTTGCCTCGTAATTTTGGAGATCCTCGCAATCGTACGAACATCCGCAGGGATGTCAAGTATCTAAAACGAATCGGTGTTTGCTGCCGTTCGTACTCCGTCTTCAAGTCTCGCCACAAAGCTCGTAGGTTCTCAAGAGGTGTGGCCCCGAGCATAACATAATGTGTCAAAAGGACCATCAGGGCGGCATACATGTACTGGTCTACCCCCAAATACTTACAGTGCATCCAGTCATATGCAAGATTGAGTCCACTGACATGTGGTAAGGAAAACAGCGGACATGATGTCCGCTGCGAAGATTCGAACCATCCTTCGGCTGTGAAGCAGGATTGCCTCCATTCGGCACCAGGGGAGAAATCCATCCAAGAGCGGGGTCCAAATTTCTGGGCTGCACAAAGTGTGCAGGGGCCGTTCACGGCCCGGCTGTTGGGAAGACCCAATACAGTAAAATAATAATCAAGGTCACCGACGAAACTGAAGAGCATTGCAGAGTAGCCGCCTGCTAGGTCAGTACCAGCTTTCATTGCTGACGTTGTTCCGGCTTTGAACCTTTTGCGAATGAAGAAGCAAAACAACATTATCCCTCCATGTATTCGAAAATATACGTGGGTATATGTGTAAACCCTATATATATATATATACATACATACATATATATATATATATATGAGCACTCAAACCCTACACCCTACATACACGAATCCCCAAACCCTAAACTCTCAACTTTGCATCCCCTGGCTGAAAAACAAAAAAGGCTCGAGAAAAGGGCTTCATATACCTTGTATAATATACAAAAGCTTCGATCTTATGGCGAGCATTCGTAAATAGCCAGGAAGCCGGTTGCCTTGGAAGTCATGAGTGGGCCACTTGCCTCGGAAAAGTGCCCGGAAACTCCAATGTAGCAGCTGGAAAAATCGATGAGCGGTCGCATTGGCATCCGAACCCAAGACTCGCAATTTGTCGAACAAGGCGAATATAAAAAACAGTGTCTCCTCGGTCTTTCCTTCTCCAAGGAGGCTGAACCAACTAAAGTTGGTGATTGTTTGCTGCCAACTTTTCCCTATTCCAGTCAGGGGAACCCCATCACCATGTAAGCCCAGTGGTACACAAGTGTTGCGGAATCCGGGCTTGCTGTTCAAAAGCTCCGGGGTCACAGCTGGATGACGGCCCTGCTCCATTGTATTCCAGAATTCTTGAAGTCGCCCTTCAGATCCCAAAATCGAATGATGCCATGTCGCCTTGTAGGAGCTCCAAACTGAGGCGAATAATTCATGCGGCAGAAGGCAGGCCTGCACGATCTCCCCAACAGGATCTTTCATCGGTAAGGGAAACAGGAAAGGTGAGGGCACTTTCACCTCGGCAGGCACACAGTTCTTCATTATGTCGGCATAGCACTTGTTCGGATATTTCCCATTGCAGCCGCAAGCAGCCATTGTCGAAATTTCGTTAACAGCTGCTGGGCCAGCTCTCATATCCAGCATGACCAAATTGCTGATGTGCTGTGCCTGCTGTGGGCTCATCAGCCCCCACACAACTTCAGTCAGCAGGTAAGTCACCAGGAGGCTCGAAGAAGACATGTCCCCAGCTGCAGAGTTTTCCTCTGCCATCGCTTTTGCGATCCTCTGCCGCTGTCCTCCCGATCTTGTTCTCTTCATTGCTGACACACGATCGCACAGCTTGTTCTTGTAGAGACCCTTTGCATGGGTATGGAGGATGTGTACAGAGACTACAGACTGTACAGTATATAACATAAAGGCACGAGCATGCTTGGGAATAGGCTTTTCGGGCGGTGGGAGTGTTTTCTGGCGGTGGGCATTGTGGGCTTAACAATACAAGGCTGTTGACCTTGAGTCTGCGGACACCGAAAAAAAGCCTTACAGTCCGAAAGCACCCTTAACCCAAAACACCCAGCACTTGCCAACCTGACAATGTATAATATAAACCCCAACTGGCACAACACCCTGATTTATCCCCGAACCTTAGCTCCAGGAGTCTAAAACCTAAAACCCAAAGCATCACAACAAACAGTCACACCCCTAAAGCCCTTTAGTATAACCCCTTGGTGAGACTCCACATAATTTCTATATAAGTTTTGTGCCATTTCGGATGTCAAGGGTTGGGTACTGCTTCAGGTGTAGGCGCTTTTCGGGGCCTGGAGTTTTTAAGCTTTTTGTAGGGCTCAGAAATGATGGAATGATTCGAGGGTTCTATAAAGGGTTGTACATAGGCAAGGTTGTGCGGATTCTTGGAACAAGTTTTCAGCGGTTTTACAAGCTTTTGTGGATTCGGTGGCTCATACAGGCCTGGGTATTGCTGGCACGGTTCAGAAGAAATACACATATGGAATTATAGATTCTAGCATATACTATAGCATTCTAGCAGTTATGTATTTTAGGGTTATAATGCTTTTCAGGTTGTCCGTGTTTGGGAAGGTCCAATAGGATTGTATGCAACAGTGATTGTAGCACCCCAAAACCCATTCCAATACCCCAAGCCCCTTATCAACTTACAGCCCCAGCACCCCAACCCGTTCCAATACCCCAAAGCCCTAACACCCCAAGCCATTCCAATACCTCGAACCCCTGAAACTAAAAGCCCCAAGACCCCAAGCCATTCCAGTACCCAAGCCGTTTAACCTGAACTGATCCCCGTAACGGAAGCTGCTTAAACCTATAAGCCCCAACACCCCGGCCCATTCCAATATCCCAAGCGGCTTCAACCGAGCTTAAACCAATGCCCGCAACACCCCAAACCAATCCAATACCCCAAGCCCTCTAGGCAACCGTGAGAGTCCATGATAACCCTGAGTGTATCCCACCTGGAGAGCACGACCGGAGAGGGCGACCACGAACACCTCGGAGTTGGACTATCTACTCTAGGTGCTATATACTTTAGAGTTATATCACAGCTTGCCCTATACATGGAAAACCACACACTCCAATCGCCAGCACTTGCATCATCGCACAAATCGACTGTGTCCTGTTCTTGCTTCCAGCGACCAAAAACGATGACCGGTAAAACTGGGCCCCCAGCACACGATGATAAGATCAAGATGTGACCTCGTTTTGATCGCATGCAGTGTGAGAATGAGGTTCAAGGCTCATGTTTTGCTTCGGCCTGCCAGCATGGAGAGCACGACCGGAGAGGGCAACCACGAACACCTCGGAGTTGGACTATCTACTCTAGGTGCTATATACTTTAGAGTTGTATCACAGCTTGACCTACATGGAAAACATGCCACACACTCCAATCGCCAGCACACCGCACAAACCGACTGTGTCCTGTTCTTGCTTCCAGCGACCAAACGATGACCGGTAAAACTGGGCCCCCAGCACACGATGATCTGATGCAAGATGTGACCTCGTTTTGACCGCATGCAGTGTGAGAATAAGGTTCAAGGCTCATGTCAATCACACGAACACTTCACTTGCTTCGGTCTGCCAGCACACACTCACTTTCTTTTTCTGAGCAAAAGCCTACAGGTGTGTGTGCGAGTGCACAACGGATCGGCAACGGATCGGCACAAGCCGTGGGCCTCCGTCACATTCAACAGCTGTTTGGATCTAAGCAGAAAAGCGCCGGAAACTGCTGTGTGTAAGACTTGAAGCTTGTAAGGCCCTGTGGAGGTCCACACAGACATCAAAATCGATCCCATTGCCCCACATGTGGGAAGAGCATCAGTTGCTCTTGCTCCGGAGGAGACCTTTGGTCACCTCCAACTTCTCGTTGAAATCGCGAGTGGCCTCGGCCACGGTCTTCAGGAAAGCATCCAGCCCTGCTTTCGAGATGGATTCTCCATCCGGCAAGACTTGGAAGTCCACGATCTGAGCCAGCTGGGTCGAAAATGTCATACACATAGCACAGCCCTTCTTGATGTCCAGAATCGACTTGTTCTCCGTCAGCTTGGGTGACTTCAGCAGCTGCATGCCCTCCTGCATGTTTCGTGGGGCTGGTTTAATTCCCTCTTGGAAAACTCTCATGGGGTAGAGTGGTCGCTCTCTCTGGGTTTGGGGATTGCACCGCCTTCTGCAACTTGCTCTGGGACTCCTGGGCCTTGGTGATGAGGGCAACAGCCGGATCGGTCAAGCCACCTTCCTCGTTGACCATCGCCGTGTTCTCCAATTTCTTCTTCGTCTTGCTAGCCATCATCGTCCATCCCACTGCAGCGAACACCGCCTGAAGCTCTCGCTGCTCCTTATTCACGAAGTGCTCGGTATGGGATGAGGGGGGGTTTGGTGGGGCTTATAAGTTCAAGGGGCTTATATAGGTTCTCGGGATGGGTCGGGGCATTCCCTAAAATTCAGCACCCTAGTTTTTTTTATGTTCGCTCTAATGGTTTAGTGTTTCCGTCTACTGTTTTTAGTACCCTACTTTTAGTACCCTAGTTTTTTTTTATGTTCGCTCTAATGGTTTAGTGTTTCCGTCTACTGTTTTTAGTACCCTACTTTTTTATGTTGGTTCTAATGAGCTTTTGGTGTGCTTGGGATTTGGCTTATACACATTCTCATTCAGTACCTTAGTTTTTTTATGTTCGTTCTAATGGTTTAGTGTTTCCGTCTACTGTTTTTAGTACCCTACTTTTTTATGTTGGTTCTAATGAGCTTTTGGTGTGCTTGGAATTTGGCTTATACACATTCTCATTCAGTACCCTAGTTTTTTTATGTTCGTTCTAATGGTTTAGTGTTTCCGTCTACTGTTTTTAGTACCCTACTTTTTTTATGTTGGTTCTAATGAGCTTTTGGTGTGCTTGGGATTTGGCTTACACATTCTCATAGCAGAAGCAGTAGCAGCAGCAGCAGTAGTAGTAGTAGTAGTGGTGTATAGTAGTAGTATAGTAGTAGTGCACCCGACCTGCACATCAACCCCGCATTCCGTCTGCATCTTGTGTTTCGTGGTCTTGCCCTCCACCTTGGCAACCGTGTACTCCTTGAAGCTGTAAAACTTCCGGCCGTCTTCTTCGCATTCTTCAAGATCGCCACTGGCGAGTGCGGCCTCGAAGCTCTTAGCATCGTTCTGGAAGTAGAGGCCCTGAATGATAGACCGAGGTAGTGCCTTTTCCTTTTTCTTCGCATACGTCTGGGTGAAGATTTCCTGGGATTCTTGAAAAAGGCTGTCCCCCGTGGCAAGGGAAATGATACCGTCCTCGTCCCTCTGGAAAAGGCGGTTAATCGCCATGGTCTTGAACTGGCGGGATGATGTGGCTTTCTTGGACTCGTTTTCCACCAAACTGATAATGTGCTGGGGCAATGCTCCAGCTTCTTTCAACTTGGTATACTTGAGGGCCTTGCCCTTGTCACGGGCCTCACACTCGTCCGTGGAGACCCCTTGCTTCATTTCCTCGATGCTGCGGTTGATCAAGCCCTTGTCGCCCTTGTCGTCACGGTCACCCTTGGATGCCATAGCAGGCTTTTTTGCAACCTTCAAGGTCTTCTTCGTCGGCTTCGGCTGCATCTTCAACGGCGAAGCAACGGTTCCCTTCGGCTTACCCATGCTGCCTCTGTGCACACAACTGGACAACAACAAGCTATAGCTCGATCGCAGCAGCCCACACAGTGAGCCAAAAAGCACTAGCAGTTCCACACGTGCACACACTTGTGTAGTAGCTTAGGATAAGAAAAAACCATTAAACTCACTCAGTTTCCAAAGGGTAGCAAAGCAGCAGCCTAGCAGTTTAGTAGAAATTTCAATCAAACTTCCACGGTCTTACCTAGCAGTTTGATAGAAATTTCCACTAAACTTCCACAGCAAAACCCTAGCAGTTTGGTAGTAGTTTGGTAGCAGTTTGGTAGCAGTTTAGCCAACAATGTAACAAACACTCGAGACATTAGCTTCGGAGTGGCTTTGAAACTGCTACTGAAACTTCCACCCCCCCCTAGCAGTTTGGTGGAAACTTCCACTAAACTTCTATACCCCCCTAGCAGTTGTCTGGAAATTTCTAGCAAACTTCCAGGCTCAAACTCTGACTTTTTGGGTGTGGGCTTTCATGGTTTCAGGTTTCTCAGCCCTGAGGGTTGAGGGTCTATGGTGATTTTTAGGTCTGGGCTTCGATGGTTTCACGTGTTTCGGGCCTTAGAATGTAAAGTTTGTTTATGGCTTTGGGGTTAGAAGCTTTAGGGTTTGGAGCTTCGGGTTCTAAGGTCTGGGGCCCGCATGGAAGTGCAAACACGGGCAAAGGCTGCTGAATCTTGTCACACAGACCTACTTCGCTCCAGGTTTTTTTCCTCCACGGTGCACACTCAGTGGTCCTCCCACCAACCGCACATATAAAAACCGTCACAATCGTTGGTCACCCTGCCCTACTAGTCCTCATCTGTCTTCTTCTCGCTGGTCCTGGGCTTCTTGTTCTTTGGCTCGCGAATCACCTCCTGGCTGTCGCTAAACACCTCCTTTGTGTTGCTGCCGTGAAGAACATCTACTGGGGCGGTGACAACAACGACCTCCCTGGCCTCCTTAGGATCGGCTTTCTCGGGCTCCTCCAGCCACTGCTCGAACTCGTGATCGATAAAAACTTGGGAGTCCTCACCGGTATCCATGGCAGCACGGAAGAGCCCACAAACTCCAAAGCCCAAAAGCTGTGCGGTTCCGTATCCCACACAAAGTGTCGCATGCAATGCTTCTGGAATCTCTGCACTTATGCACACACAAGCCCACTCCACTCCTACGGCACATGTTTCGGAGGCTGGGTATCCCGCAAGGATCGCAATGCCAGCCGAAGTTTGTGTAGACCTGGGCCATCGGAGGAGTTCGCAAGGCTATTCACGGGTCCGGGATGATGTGCTGTAAATCGCTCACACACAACTGGAATTGCACATGTAACATATTTTGCAGACTGTGTGTGCCGGCACGACCAAACGGAACTGGGTGTCCAGCAGGGATCGCACTGGCTGTCGAAGTTCATGGGTGGGCCTGGGCCATCGGGCTATTCATGGATTTGGGGGATGGCACTCTGTGACTCGCTCACACCAAACATGCAGAGGGCAGAACATGCATTTTTTCCCCAAACCCACGGCTTCTATCACACGTGTAGATCTCAGCGGCCCCTGGATCGTGATCGCGACTTGAACTTGCTGAGGCAGCTCTTGGCATAAAATTTTTTGCATCGCCAAAACTCCAAAGTATCCTTGGCCTTTTTCAACTCCGCCTCCCAGTACTCCCTGTTCTCGCCGTCCACCAGCTGTATGCGGGCAGGGGGTATTTGTGATTTGTGCAGAAGATACCACCACCTATATGTACACACAACATACTACAACCATACACACTACACATACCTACCTACCAACCTACATACATACATGCATACATACATACATACATACATACATGGTAAACGTGTATATATACATATATAGATATATACATGAAAAACTATATAATCCTATACAACCTAAACTCTTAAACTCTAAACCGGGCCGGAAAAGAGGGGCGAGGCCTTCTCTTTAAAGCCTGAAACCCTTTAGAAGCTAAGCCCTAAAACCCCAAGCCGCAGGAACCCATTGGATCCCAGAAGCCCCATAAACCTTTTTTTGTATGCCCTGGGACCTGCTCGTAGCTGCTGTCATCCGAGCCATCTCCGTTGGAGTCCTCACCACCAGCACCGGAAGCCTCGCCATCCTGAAACAAAACCACTCAAACCCAAAAACTCTATACTACATGTACCACAACCTTATCACACAAAGTAGTGCAGAAGTCAAACCTAGGGCCCTGGGGTTTTTAAGGGCTTTGGAGTTTAGGGTCTCGGCCTCGGCAACTCTGGAGCCCAAAGTCTCCTCCTGGTGGTTCTCTTCAGCGAGCATGTCGTTGGTGTTCTGATGGCCCGGGTCCTGTGACAACAGCCCGTGCTCTAAATGTAGATATATCACACTGTGTAATTACAGTCAGGATTAAGTAAGATATTTAGAGTTTGGGTTTAGGAGTTTAGGGAGAAAAACCCAGTTCAGGTACCAGCAAGGGTGTTGGGTCT